ATTATTTCCTGTTCGTTTAAAAAAAAAAGTTCAGTTTCTGTGCATGTGCAGGGAGTTTTTCTTTTAAGTTTGACACTGTTTGACTTCTTGTCCACTTTTTTCAAGTTTTAACACATACTTCACTTTATGCGGTCAGGATCAAGAACAATATCTGAAAATGAGTAGTTGACGGGGACTGCCACGCTGCGGCCATCTTAAATTTTTGATTGGGCAGTACTTTATGTTGGGGTTCGCTCTCAGCTACCACCACACCAAATTTCAGCTTGATATCTCAAAGAATTACAGAATTATAGTCATTTTTGTGTTTTCTGAGGTAGCTGTGGCAGCCATCTTGAACCAAAATGGCTCCAAAATTTAATCTGTTCTAAAGATACATCTGATGATTACTTTCTGTGAGTTTCAAAAAAATTCCGTCAGGCGTTTCTTGCGTCTTTGTTGGCAAAACACGTCGCCATGGTAACTTGAAAAAAAGTGAAAGCACACAGTCAGAGACGGTCATTTCATTATAAAAGTTTTAAAACGTTTGTGGGGGTACACGTTGTGATTTGGGCCGCAATGAAGTTGACGCAAGAGCAAGTCCCTCTTCGTCTCCAAGCCGTCCCCAAAGAGTGAAAAAGCAAAAAAAAAACAAAGAAAAATCTTGAAAGACCTTCAACGTGTAAAACTATTGTCCATTAAAACACTTTATAGGAATGTAGATGTTTAAAAGGAACAAAAAACAATAGTGATGGTTGAAAACTATTGCACAGTGTTCTTTGCGTTGGGAACATTACCAAGACCCACATAAAACAACAAAAGCAGGATGACGGAACCAAAGCACGACCCCGTCCTGCTGCTCTGAGGTCAGTTTCAGCTGCTCGGAGTCGAAGCTGTTTTTAGCTCATTCAAACTTCCGTCCATTTTATTTTTACTCCTGCAGGAACATTTCACGTCCATCACGTCAAACGGACCTGCAGTAAAGACTCTTCGAGCACGCTCCCGCTCCATGAGTGAACACCTGACATCACAAAACCTGCTGTGATGGGCTGTTAATTCTTCTGCTGTCATAAACATGAGCGTCTGCTGTTTGTTAGCCCTGCAGGCTGTAAATACTTCCTCATCTCCTCTTACCTGAATAAACAAACTGGAGACCTCGCTCACCTTTGAAGAACTGTGAGGAAGCTCTGTTGGGCTTTCTAACGCAGGCTCCAGACACTCATGGAACGACTTCCTGTTACAAACAAAAGCCAACCAGAGGAGAACTTTAAAGGCAGCATCTCACCGGGCTGGACCTGTCCCAGATTCTCTGGTGACTCAACGTTGTGAGAAATTCTCCACTGCAGTCTCGCTGAATTTCTACACTTGGTCCATGCTCGCTGGTCTTGGGAACAGCACCGCGTCACCAAGGAGGTCCCGTGATTCCATCCATCCATCCATCCATTATCTTTCGGGTCATGAGAGTCACTGCTATCCAGCAGTCACTGCGTAAGAGGTGGGGGACACCCTGGACAGGTCTCCAGTCCATCACAGGGACACATGGAGACAAACGAGAGACACAACCATTCACTCTCTCTCTCTCACACCTAGAGACAATTTGGAGTTGCCTGACCTTACATATACATGTACATGTTTTTTGTCTGTGGGAGGAAACACCCGGAGAAAACCCACGCAACACGGAGAGAACATGCGAACTGCACCCAGAAATGCTCCCCAGACGGATTTGATCGGACAACCTTCTCGCTGTGAGTTGGCAGCTCTAACTGCGCCACCGTGCCGCCCTGCAGAGATTCCATAAACTCAAAAACTGCTTTGAGAAGTTGAAAATGTTCAAACGCTTTGGTTACGTTTTTGACTGAAGGACGAGCTTCCTGTGCGCGACTCTTCTGCTTGTACTCTTCCTATTTCATCGGTAGTGACACCTACTGGTTCAAAGTTGAACTGCAGCGGTCGTATAGCTCCACACTGCTGTTGTCCAAGTTTACACGAGTCATGAGTTGGGCGACATAATCTCACTTTGTGTTTGCAACCAGCAAGCTGTGCAGCCATGTTTTGAGGGGTTAGTCTTCAAAACGCACTCTTTATTTCTGTCTTTGCAGCTTGCTATAATGAATTCTTGGCTGTGTACATTATTTAGTTGCCCACCTGAAAACTGACGTTCTTTGAATTTGAGTTTGGTTTAAGTCCCACTGTCCGATTTTGTAGGATATATATATATATATATATATATATATATATATATATTTATATATCTCTATATCTCTTATTGATGACATTTGCTGTTTGCTTTTAACCAACTTGTAAAGAACTTTCATCAGTCTAGTTGTTTTAAAAGTGTTTTTACTCCTGTGACAAAAAGAACAGATTTTTGTGCAGTTGTTTAAATAAGAGTAAAACCAGATTAGATTATGTGTCACTCTGAGCTTATCTACAATTACGTCATGTCTCTGGATGAGAACAAGATTCAGGATGATTCTGTTAATTTAGCCGAGCTCGTTGGAAACCAGGAGAAAGTCGGCCATGTTTTTCCAGTCACGTTTCTTTTGTGCTTCTAACGAGCTTCAGCTGTTTCAATAGTAAAACGCATTTATATAGAAATGTTAAAATGTAATATATAACTGAACAACTGAAATCTGTCTTTTGTGGGAATATGATGAATTTATTCAGGTACAAAGGAAGTTTGCACATTTTGTTGTTTGCTCCAAATTTTGTCAGGTTAATAAGTATTTCTGCGAGCACACAGAACATGACATGCACATGTGAAGGGTAGCCAGAGAACACGAATAAATCAAAAGATTTAATCCAATTGTCATTTAACTACAATTGTATTTCCCATGTTGATTTCCTTGTATCCGTTCTTTCTATTTATCTTATAATTTAGTATGTGTTCCTGATTCCACACAAAAGGCGGCTTCCTTTCATATTTTGCCTCTTTGGAACGGTTGTCGTTCTGTATTGTGAGTAAAACGTTAGGCGGAGGGGCGGAAAGAGACGAAAAACAGGCAGAGCAATTTATTTATTTTCCTTTTTTAAATCAAATTTACTATTATTCTTATAGAGCATAACAAAATAGGAAACATAATCTGGATTATTTTTATTTACATTGTAGTTTTATTGTTTACGTAGATGCGTTAGCTTGTACGTCAAACAGCACCATGAGTCTGCATGAACACAGCAACATGAAACAGATCAGCAGCAACATGAGACGGATCAGCAGCAACATGAAACGGATCAGCAGCAACATGAAACGGATCAGCAGCAACATGAAACAGATCAGCAGCAACATGTGATTTTTCACAGTGGTTAGAGATTCATGAGTCTAACAGCCTCGGGGCAGAAGCTGTTCTTCAGACTATTGGTTCTACACTTTTAATGCTACTGAGGGAAGTGGGGCAAAAAGTGTGTGTGCTGGGTGAGTGGGGTCCTTCATGATGCAGGTGGCTCTCTTCCTGAAATGTCTGTGATGGTGGGGAGGCTGATGAAGTCAGCCTCCACGCCACACGTTGATGCTGGAGCGCAGGATGCTCTCCACTGCACACCTGATGGACTGAGTGACCGGACCAGCTCGTCTCAGCTGCCTGACGAAGTAAAGTCTCTGATGAGCTTTCTTGATCAATTAAATTTATTTATATAGCGCCAAATCACAACAAAGTTGTCTCAGGGCACTTTACAGAAACATTCACATACATAAAAGCCAATTAGTAAAGTTCTCTATATAAGGAATCCAGCAGACAAGATGAATCTTGATCAGGCTGGTGGTGTTGTTGCTCCAGCTGAGGTTGTCATTCAGGTGCACTCCCAAGTACTTGTAGCTGGAGACCACTTCCACCGCAGACCCTCCTATGTTCGGCGGGGGTGGGGGGTGATTTTGTTCCTTCTGAAGTCCACGACAATCTCTTTCGTCGTCTTCACATTGATGTGAAGGTTATTCTCTTTGCACCAGCCACCTCCTGCCTGTAGCTGGACTCATCGTTGTTTGTGATGCTTCCCACCCGCTGTATCGTCTCCAACCTTTACAATGTGACAGCCTGGATGGGACATACGTGAGCAGTGAACTGGAGAGGGCTCAGCACACAGCCCTGAGGGGAGCCAATGCTGAGTGTTATGGTGGAGGAGGAGAAACCATGAAGTTAATTTTAAGCCCTGTCTATAAGCTGTTGGCACTTCGAGTTGTGAATCACTGTCTCGCTAAATTTGAGCAAAAATAGTGAATTTCACAGAAGTATAATAATTTTTGTGTGCGCTACGCATAATTAAAAGGTTCAGCTCATTCGTGAGATGGGTAGTTTTAGTAACTTTTATATATATTTTAAAATATTTAACTTTATTTTAAAATGTTTCCCATAGAAACACACTGAGATCTCATCACTTTCTTCAAAAACGGTGTTCTCTGTAAAATCCAAGTTTCAGCAAACTGCTACTTTTAGCTAGCTAGTCTGCGTTTGTTTTTTAGCTATCTTTTTGCTTTTTTTATCTTTTAGCTAGCATTTTGCTACATTTAGCTTTTATATATCTATAAATATATTTTTAAAGTTGCCTTTTTTATATAAAAGATTTTAAAAGATAAATGATTACTTTAAGCTTGTAGCAAGTTCAAGTGTTTACTTTGGGGTTAGCATTTTGCTTCTTTTAGCTTCTAGTGTTCTGCTTTTAGCTTCGCAATCAGTTCCATTGAGATGAAAAGTTTTCTTTTCTGATTTTTAAGATATAAACTGCCTCAGTTTGAACAAGAAAAACACAGCAATACATATTTTACATATCTAAACCTTTATAAACAGCTAAAGGAATAAAGGGGAACTCCAGACAGGTTTGGATGAAATGAATCAGATGAGTTTTGGGAGTTTTCACCTGAAAGAAGTGAAACTTCAGGGGGTGGAGGAGGAGGTGATGCTGCAGATGGAGAAGTGAAATGGAAGGGGGAGGGGGGGAGGCAGGGGGAGGGGGAGGCTCTCTGCTCTGATTGGCTGCTGCCTCTCCCTGTCGGAGAAGTCTTGAAGCTGCGCGCGCGTCAGGAGCTCAGAAACCAACAGGCAGCGGATTGAGGACGACCTGGGCTCAGTCATCTTCTCCTTCAGACACTTTGGTTCTTGTTGCCGACGTTAAACTCGGATTACACCTTTTTATTTAATCTATAAATCTAATTTTATTTATTTCTGAGAGGCTGAGGGACCGGAGCGGCTCGGTTTATTCTCATGTAAGAACCGGGAAGTCTCGACTGTTGAGAAGCTGCTTTTTGATTTTAATTTTTTGAGGGGGATATAAATCAGTTCCCTCCTTTGAGTTCCTGCTCGTTGAGGTGAGTGAAGCTGTTTTCTGTTGGGAACTGGAGCTTGTGTTGGTGCGTGTCCAAGTGCGCGCAGGTGCAGGAGCGCACTTTGAGCCACATCTAAAAAAAACCGCATTTTAAATAAACTCGTGCGACATTTTATGATTATTTTTGAATGAATTGCACCTGTTGAGGCTGCAGATGATGTTTGTGTCTGTGGAGCAGACGGGTGATTTTATTCTGGCCCCGTCAACAAATCTGCTCCAGAAAACCTGGATCTGGAGGTTTGGTGTTCGTGTCTCTGCACCTCCTGGCTAAGAGGATTCTCCTTCCCTGTGCTCCTTTGCAGAACAGGGGGATCAGTGGTTAATCTCTGAATTACAAGGGTTTGAAAGGTTTAACCCTTTTCATGCTTATTGTTTAGCTGGACTCTGATCGGCTAAATGTGTAAATCCTCTGGAAATGCTTGAACGAGTTCTAGTTTTTGGTTCACATCATGGCTGAGACCCTTAATGAGTGTAGTGTTGATGACGTTTCTAGTCTTCCTGATAAAATTCAACACTTTAGGCTTCTTAAGCATCACGTGGGTCAAGTCCTTTAACACCTAATTTGCTTTAAGACAAACACATTTTTATTTGTACGGCACATTTTTAACAACAGTGTTTTAAAAAGACAAAAAAAAAAATCTGACTAAAAGCAACAAAAGAAGGCAAATCATTTAAAACAATCGAACTCGATATTAACTGAAAGCAGCAGTGAAAAGCTCTTAAATCTGAAAGAATGTGACATTGGGTCACAGCAGGTGATTTATAAGTTCAGTGCGGTAGAAAAGAAAAGTTTACGTCACATTTTGTTTCTAAAAGTGAAAATGTCTCCTGGCTGTGAACCCATCTTTTGTTAGAGGTCAGCTCCTAAAGATTCAGGGAGTAAGATGATCTCTCTGTCTGTGGGGAGGAGGGGGGACATGTTCCTGCAGGTCTGATGATGATTCTGGTGGCAGAACGTTTAATGGAAGCTGTGCAGCAGCTGCAAGCACCCCCTCCTTTGGCTCCTCCATGGTGTCAACGAGGAGGAGTTGAGGAGACGCGTTTCTGCTGACAGGATAAAAGTTGATTTATAAATCCAAAGATCTTCGCTTTAATGTGAAACTAGCGCCGAACACTTCTCCTGATTCTGCTTCTTTTCTTCCACCGGGGCCTCCTCAGCCTCCCTGCTCCTCCTGTCCTCGGGTCACGGATGAGTGAGATTCCTCGTGCCTTTCCGTGTTTACTCAGTAGACGACCAGGGGTGGGGGTTGCTGATGATCCCTCAGTGTCTGCAGCACATTCCACATGCAGATCTATTTATAACTGATGACTAGCATTTTCTTGAGCATCTCATCGTATGGCGAACGTTTCATTGTGATCTGCTGCATCACATCGTACATCCTCAGCGGAAGCTGCTCAGGTTTCTCAGGACAGGTGCAGTTTGGAGCATCTACAGAAGTTTTTTTTTCCTTGTTTATTCTGCAAGAAGGATTTCATCGGACGTTTCTTTCCTCTTGTCGTTATCCAAAGAGCCCCAGTCCTGCTGAACTCTAAGCAGGTTAGAGACTGGACCCCCACCACGGTTCCTGTCAGGGGCGGTCCCACCTGTAAAGACTTATACCTCCAGGTTTACGGTGCCGACGGTTCTGTTTGCTCCAGGGTGAAATCACTTAAAGATATGAAATCAAAGGGAAAACATGAAGATTAAATCGTTCTCCTGAACTTCATCACATGGTGAAGGTTTAAAACATTTACTCGTGTAGTTTTCTAGCTATATTGAGGTAAAATTCTGAAATGTGGGTACGTAATCAATGTAAACAAAGCTGAACCAGTCAATCAATAAGACCACACGTCTTATGGATGCCTCCATCCCAGCTGGCTCCATGGGTGTTGCCATTGTTGGAAGGACATGTGAAATGTGTGAGATTTTTATTTGTCTATTTTTTTTGTTAGGCCTTCATGACGTCCAGCTTGAGTCTGAAGTTTTGGTCCCATCATGATAAATGCCTGGAAAAACTGATCTGCTACTTTGATTTTTGTGCTTTTATTGACTGAAACAAACAAAAATGAACTTTATTTAGAACAAAAACGTTCTTGGATCCTTGCTTGTTTTTGCTGGTCAAATCTTTTTTCCACAAACCATCACCGGTTGAGCACAGTGCCTTAAAAATCACTTTTAATATTCAAATTCTAACAAATTGTTGAGAAGAATGGGATAAAAACGAGTCTTTGTAAAGGAGAAGCTGCAGAACTTTCTCTTGTTTTCATATCCAGCTGAAGTCCAAACCAGACTTCTTCAGCACGTTGTGGCAGATGGCTGCACACTCAGCCAGACGGGCTATAATTAAACCCATCCAACCTAACCACAACCCCCTCTCTTGGTAAGAAGCTGTGGCATTCTGTTTGTTTACCTTCAGCTGCCAGCGCGTTTGTTTGGACTGGAAACGTGGTCCCTTCACCTCCTCGCCCCGGACCGACACCTGGAAGCCAAATGTAAATCACCGCGCCTCAGTTGTTGCTGCTTGTAGGCATCCTGAGTTTAGGTTTTTTAAGGCGTGGGGGTGTTGTGGTGACAAGGTTGCAGCTGCTGTTTGAAGCAAATAAGAACGGGCAGTAATGGCCTTCATGCAGACAGAGGAAGTGGTTCTGCACCCCCCCCCCCCCCCCCACCCCCATACTTCTATCTAAAACCTGAGAAAAGGCATCTGGAAGTCACTTCTTTGTTTAACGGCAGGCAGAGACAAAATGCTATATGTCCACTAGCATCTTCTTCTTTCGAGACAGCGTTTGTTTTGAAGAAACTCACCTGTCCTTGATGGCTTCAGGTAAAGTTTCTGTTCAAATGTGTCAAAAAAGCAAAGTAAAGTAAAGTTTTAATATGTTTTGGAAAAAAAAAAACGACTCCTGCATTTCCTTGAAGATAAGAGTTGATTTAAGGTCACGTGTAGCAATCACGTACAGCACAGAACAATTTTATTTATAATAGAAACAACAGTTTGCTAAAGTAGAAGAAAAAAACAGCAGCAAACAAAAACCAATAAAAACATAAAGAACTGTTAAAATCATTCAATCAATCGTTTACGCCCAAGAGACAAAAACATTTTTAGAAACAACAGAGTTTTAGCTGTTTTGGGTAAACCTTCAAAATAACATCTGATGTTTCAAAATTAGCTAGCAGGATATTGGATTTTTGGCAGATATCCGATATGTTACAACTTATTTGGCCGGTAACCGATACCAATACCGATATTTTCGCCCTAGACCTTACCACCGCTGCATGGCTTTCTCTGCTGCGGAATAAAATACATTATACTGCATGGTCTTTGGTCTATTGAATGGGATATCGAAGCCAAAAAAGAGGCTGAAAATAATGTAACACTATATAAATATATAAAAAACAGCACCTTTTTGTATCGGTGAGTTATTTTGATGGAATGGCCGATGTCTCATCGCTAATATCGGCTAATATCGGCTAATATCGATACCATGCTGATAATATTGTGCATCCCTAGCCAGCACTCAGAATATAAGTTGGAGATGACTCTCGGCTACCACACCACACTTTACTCTGTAAAACTCAACGGGTTAGAGCCATTTTAGTTTTGACTTGCTGTGGCGGCCATGTTGGATCAGCCTAACTCCAAAATGTTAATCAGTTGTAGCCTTTTAAATAAATATAAAATGCTGTTTTGGATTGATGAACCTTCAGACCCTCCTGCAGGTACTTCTGTTAGCCTAGCTGTTGAACACTGAGTGGGACTCTGTGTACGTTGCCCCCTCCACCCCCGCAGGGCTTTAGAAGGCACAGATGAGATCAGAGAGTTGTTGTTTGGATCAGAGTCGTGTTCTCGACGTCCCACCACCTGCTTCGTACTGACCCCAGGACCTGGACCAGAAGAAGCATCACGTCATGTGTCTGTTCCAAGAAAGGAGCAGTTTTGTTCAACTCAACCCACCGTGCACTGAGCGGAGATCTAAAAACGGTTGACTTGTTGTGAGAGCATCATGTGGCTTGTGATCTTCCTTTCGTCTGAACAGAAGCCACATGGAGCAGCAGATGCTGGGGCCGCTCTGCTCTGACTCCACACACCATTCTCATGGAAATGGCCATGGCTGTCTGGCTGAATAATAGCTATTTTAGCTATGAGCGGTGTGTGTGTGAATGAAGAGGACTGTGAGGCTCCCCTCGTGTCGATGGAGGCCTGATGGGACTTAAAGTGGTCATGAATAAACAAGGAGAGTTTAGTTTATGTATAAAACAAACAGAACTGTGTCTGTAGGACCTGCAGATCAGAATACAGGTGATGGAGCCTCTGATTAAAGATATTTTATTTATATATATTTTTTTAGCTTGTGTAACTTTGTCCAGTCATGAGTTTTGACTCAAAAGAGACTATTTGAATCCAAACCCAAACACCCTGATCGTGGTCCAAGTTCAGTCAAGATCACCTGGATGGACACATCTGGAGCTGCTGTTGGACACCACGGTCGCTTCATTCATCAGCTCTACGAGCGTAAACCAGACCTACTTTTTAAAACGAGCAACAACTTTGTTGAATGCTGAATCCATCCATTCATCCCTCCCTCCGCTTGTTCCAAAGTCAGGTCTCGGGCAGCAGATGGCAGATGTCTGAACCACCTCAACTGGCTCCTCTGGATGTGGAGGATGTTCTACTCAGTCTCTCCTGATAACTGAACTTCTCACCCTGTCTCATTTCAACCGCCTGTATCCATGATCTCATTCTTTCAGTCATGACCCCATGACCACAGGTGAGGGTAGGAACATAGTCGGCTCAGTTCCCTCTTCAAAAACTGAATCTTAATAAAAGACGAGACACAGATAAGGTCCTGTGCTGCTCGTCATGTTCACCCTCACTGTGTTAAAACTGCTTAGCCCTCTACCGGAGAAACAATCAAAACTTCTCACAGCCCTCTTATGGTCGGTAAAGAGTTAACTCCCTCTGATTTGATCAGCTGATGTTTATTCCTCCTTTCCTTTTCTTTCCTTCATCACGAGACAAAGAAAGCCTGAATTAATGGGGGCTGTTTATCTCACTGTGTGGGCAGGTGCACGTTATTCCTCTCGGCGTCTCTGAATCGATCCCTGGCAGCTCTGCACTGCGTCGGTCGTAAAGGCTTCACCCTTGGCCGGCAGCCACGGGGCAGCATATTGTCAGGGAGGTGTGTGAGCGTGCGAAGCTGTGAGGGGGTTGAAATTGTTGGACCTTGTACCCCCCCCACCCCCACCCCCAACACAGTCAGAGTAGAAGGCCCTTTGTGTTGTCTCGTAGTGTACCTGGCAGGAGGCAGAGAGGAGGACGATAGAAAATCTGAGCAGTTTGAAGGTGAATCCATTTTCTTCCATCATCTCTGGATAACACAAACTGTTACGGCCCTTCACGAAGTCGAGAAGTCATAAGTTGTTGCTAATTTCATTAAATATGCTCAAAGTGTCAAAAATGATCACATGATCAGACGTTTTTCTCAATTCAACTTCTACATCATCGCACAACATTAACTTTAAGGAATGAAAACTTCAAACAAACCCTTTTAATTTTACAAAAGCTTCAAATGTTTGAACGCACACCGCTTTAGATCAAGAATTAGAACATGTAAATAATAAGAATGTAATAAAGTTGATGTATTCAGATTTGAGATTTGATCAGGTGTTGAGGTTTTTCAATAAAAACGTAAAGAGTGAAAAGGTGCAGGTTGAAATGAGTAAATCAGATTTTTGCACATTCCCTCCTGTAACGTCAGTGATCGATATTTGCCCCTGAATTGTGTCTGAGTTACATTTAATGTTTTAAAAAGGAAAATAAACTCTTCAGGTCTGACTTTTTTTTAAATATTTGACATATTTTTAAATTTACTGCAGAAGTCGTGCTCGAATGGAACATGTAGGTCAACGTGTGAAACCACAGCCGCCCTTCACTCGTCATTTTGTACTCTTTCTGACAGCCCCCCCCCCCCCCCCACACACACACACACACACTGAGTCACACACACTCATGAGCATGAAGGAAGCGAACCGACAGCGTGATCACACCGTATGATCTCACAGTCATGACTTCCTGAAGGGCAGCACTTTGGACCAGAACCTCACAAGCTCCGACACGTTTCCTTTAGTTTTATTTTCTTCTTTATTTTTTGGTTCACTTTCAGTTTTATGCATTAAAGTTTCATTTACTTTCACTCTGATCATCCTTGAGTCACAAACACTTGAAATAAATTATTTTATTTATAGATTTGTAGCAAAGTTAAAGCGTTAAACTTTGTATTATATGCATTATATATAATACTATATATTTTATATGTATCATGTAATTTTGCATCATGGCGGTTAAAACAACAGTTGAATGTTTTGGATCTCTTAAATTACCATTTTAGACATCGGTGATCTGTGATATGTGATGCTATGAGCTGAATGTCCTCGTGGTCCAGAGAGCTTAAAGAAAAAGCAACAGCAGAACGATAAATAAAAGCTAAAAGAAACGGAACACTAGCTAAAAACTAAAATGATCTAGCTAAAAGAACAGAATCCTATTTAAAAGAAGCTGAACACTAGCTAAAAGAAGCAAAATACTAGCTAAAAGAAACAAAACGCTATCTAAAAGAAGCCGAACACTAGCTAAAGGCTAAAAGAAACAAAATACTAGCTAAAAGAACAGAATCCTATTTAAAAGAAGCTGAATACTAGCTAAAAGAAGCAGAATCCTCTCTAAAAGGAACTAAACATTAGCTAAC